GCTTGTCACTTTTGACATTACAGCTATGTTTGGATACTCAGCTGTTGGTGCAGCCGGTTGTCATCGCTATTTTCCATTTGCAAAAGCTCCTGACATGTTAAAATAAATAACAGTTGGCAAAGCAGCAGATGCTGGGGTTTACCCAAGGAAACTAAGTACCTTTACTCAAGTACTAACAAATGTTTTGTTACTTTTGTTATTTTCCTCCACTACAATTCAGAGCTAAATGGTGTACTTTTACTCCACTACATTTATTTTGCACCTTAAGTTACTTTACAGATTTGGATTATGATGTGAAATATAATCAACTCTTAAATAAGACTTTAGTTACACCTGGAGTAAATACACAAGCTACCCTGCAGTATACAAAGTCATTCAAACTAGCGAATCTGCATAACGAGTTTTACTTTTGGTACTTTAAGTATATTTTAATGCAAATACTTTTACTTGAGTAACATTTTGAATGCATGACTTTAGTTGTATCAGGGTATTCCTACTCTCTGGTATTTCTACTTTTTGTTAAGTACAATATCTGAGTACTTCTCCCATCTCTGACATTTGGTGGTCTGTCTGCCCCCAGAGCCACAAATGTTTTTATCAACACTAGACATGTGAGGAAAGCCTTCTTTACATATTGTCTCCGTATGCTAGTGATATGAGCCGTTGCCAGCAGGCTCTACAGTTGATCTGCCTGCAGCCGCTCACTTGTGACCCATGAGTGTATAGACAAGTTATGTAAGTCTTCTCCAAACCTCCAGAGTAACTTAATGGCAGGCAACTAACTGCATAATATCAGGCCCCCTTTGCCAACCTCTTAAGCATTCTGTGTACAAGTCGGTGGATAATAAATAACAAGTAATGCAATAGCACGTGCCCTTGAGCAATGCAGGCAGCAAACTGACAGCAGGGGAGTTTAAATAACGCTGGCTGGTTCCTGGTAATAGAGTAGATGTGCTAGGCTACATTAGGCATAAGGACGAAGTAAGAAATTATAACTTTTTTTGTCTTAAAAAAACTTGAACTTGATAGGAAAACAAATCAGATAAAGGTTTTTATTCATTTTCAACAACATTAAGTTTAGGAATCCTTGTTCCAAAGGCTTAGATACATCCTTTTCTTGAAGTACAGGGCTGTAGAGAAGAGTACAAATTATAATCAAACCCAGTTCCAATTAAGTTGCAAGTCTAGGTCAAAATAAAAGTGACTCCAGTTCTGTTGAAGGCCACAATGTGCATTCTTTAGTTGGTCGGATTTAATTCTTTATAGACCTTTCAAAAAATGTGTGAAAAAAACCAACTGTGACATAAAGGTGGAATTTCTTTCATTTGTTTTCGTGTCTGGTTAAGCTAGGCAATATGGTTTAATCAACATCACACTTTTACTGAGATCATACTAGTATACATGGTCAAAAATAAAAACTGATGCCCAATCCACGGCAACATTGTAGAGCCAAAACTCTGCGCACATGTAAATAATACACTTGTAAGTTTAGATTTAGAAGTACAACATCATACTACTCCTAATATCATACATTTACGAACCGTATTAGTAGTTTCTAAGGCAAAACTATTTGTTCTGATTCCAGTTTGTCCAATGAGAGGTTTAGCTGATAATCTAAGTTGTATATCTCTGTCAATGTATTATGTTGGTCATTGGGGCTGCTCAATTAATTGTATTTTAATCGCAATTACGATTTTGGCTTGCAACGATTATGAAAACAACATAATCGAAATAAAACGATTATTTTTTATTTTTTTTTAATTAATTTTTGTATTGGTTTTTCAGTTGAATTATACTCAACGTTCAGGGTAATCAACTGTTAAAAACATACTGTTCACATTTTTTTTTTAATAAAATGGATGTTTTCAAAGTAAATGGATAATCGTTTTTAATAATCGTGATATCAATTATTGACCAAAATAATCGAGATTATGATTTTTGCCATAATCGAGCAGCCCTATTGGTCATTGAAGTGACGGCTACATTTGCTGTTCAGCGGTTGTTCACGTTTTAAAAGATCCCATATATCTGTAGTATATTTCATATTTATGAACACACTTTATCAGTAAAATAAGCCAGACAAATTATTGTCAAATGAATCAATAAAAAATAGTTAAACTTGATTTCCAAAACATAGCTGCCACTTTAATATGTTAACAACCACTTGTGTAATTTATACAGTATGAGAACAATTTTTTTTATTTTTGTCTAAAAGCAAATTTTTTCATTAGTTACTATATTATTAGATTTTTAAATTAAATTGTTCAGAGGAATCTTAATTATTTCACTTGTTTTTTGTTATTAAGCTTTATAATATGATGTTACTGTGTTGAATCCCTTTCACTGTAGAGTGCCATATCAGTGGCAGCTAATGTATGTTTTTCGCTGTCTTCCTTTAGATTGTAATATCTGTACATTGTGCTTGTTTTTCAGATTGATAGGTATGCCAAAGGAAAAATATGATCCTCCAGATCCCCGCAGATGTTACACCATCATGCCAGCGGAGGAGGTGGCCAATGGGAAGAAGTCTTACTGGGCCGAGCTCGAGATTTCTGGTCAGTCTTACTATGTTTCTCTGAAACTGCTCCCATACAAAGAAATCCCAATGTGCTAACACAGACAAACCGAAGGAAGAGGTAGCTCCTACTTTAAGAATCTAGTTTTCTTCGCGCTTGAATATCTAACAGTTGCATGCGCTTTTATTGTTATTAAGACACTTTTTATCCCACTCACTCTGTATTCAGTGTCTTCAGATGCTGCATGTTTTTCAGTTTGTAGGATTTGGAAGATTCAAATGTGTGGTGTTGCAGGTCAATCAACAGAAAATAAGTTGAAATTACAGTCTACTTATCATTTGAGTGATTTATTAGCAAAATGCCTTGTTTTTTCATTTTCTGATATTTTTAAGAAAATGTATCTATCTGCTGAAGAAAAACATTCAGCAGACGAGTCAAGGATAAGAATAACAGTTGCAGCCTACTGAACGCAAAAATAGATTTTCTTACGAGGATGTTGTTGTTTAAATGATTCTTGGTTAAGATCAAATCAAGTTTTATTTATATAGCACATTTTTAAAACGATTTTTGGTCGTGCCAAAGTGCTGTACATACAATAAAAACACTTTACAATAAAACACTTTTTACAACAAAATACAACAGCAAAAAAAACATTTAAACCCCCCCCCCCCCCCCCACAGGGAGATGTCAGGAGTCGTGCTCCGCTCTGACTAGAAGGCCAGAGAGAAGAAGTGTAGATTTAAAAACCCCTAGGGTCTGGGCCCTAATAATTTCAATTATTTTGACTCCCAAACCTTTTAAAAGGACCACAGGGCATCCTGGTTTGGATGACAACAGCTGAATGAATGTAGAACAGGAAGAGGAGTATTAATGGTGGACAAACTGTTCTTGGTTGGTTAAAAGTCAATACAAATGCAGATCAGGTTCCTGCTTTATGTTATTTGAACTTTTATCTCATTAAATAGGTTTAATTCAGTATTTATATCTTCACTAAAGAGTTCTCTGCTATAGTCTGGTTTCAGTGTCTCACAATGCTCTTGGTTCTGTTTCACGTGGTTTTCTATGATTAAAAAAAAAAAAGTCTATTTGGGCTGAACAACTGAATGTAGTTATTGTTTCTGCATGAAAATAAATGAAAGGGTTTGAGACTATACAGATATGCCGCAGTTCGGTCAATTTCAGTATGTCGAAGTGTGTTTTGTTCGATTTATCACACAGCTAAAAATCTGTGTTTCTTTTTGAGTTCTGGAAATAATATCCACTTTTGAAGACAGTCCGTTCCCCTGTTTGCCTTTGCAGGACGGGTGAGGAGCCTGAGCCCCTCGTTATGGACCCTCACCCCACCTGACGGCATTGCACATCAACGACAACAACCTGAGCCGCATCCCCCCCGACATCTCCAATCTGTCCCACCTGGTGTTCCTGAACCTGTCGTCCAACAAGCTCCGCAGTCTGCCCGCTGAGCTGGGCAACATGGTCTCTCTCAGGTAGACATCACTGACAGCTGACTGACACATGGAACAGAAAAGTTAACCTGCCATTATGCTTTGTTGCAGAGCTTTTAAAGGTCACCTATTATGCAAAATCCACGTTTTCCTGTCTTGTATACATCAACATGTGTCCCCTCTGTGGAAAGAATTCTGAAGGTTTCAGGAAAAAAGATTCTCTCTCTTTTTGTCCTGATCCATTTATATAAAAACCTGTCTGAAAATGAGCTGATCAGATTTTGGCCACTTTGTGATCATAATGTTTTTTTGGCTTGTGTAATCACCAACCAAGGTTACAACCCCCCCCCATCTAAAGTAACAGACAGAGAATCAGCACTTTTGAAACAGAGGGGATTATGGGATGCTACAATGATCTGTTTGGTATTTGGAGCCAGACACTTCAGAGACATGTTTTGTATATATCTGAAAGCTATAATATATTGATGAAAAAGAGTATAATAGGGGACCTTTAAGAATGGCTGAATATTCTGCGATAGGGCTGGAAGATAAGGATGAAATCTCCGTATTCATTATGTCATTTTAAATGTCAGTATGGGTTTATGATGTAAACTTTGTGGAAGTTCAATTGATGACACATTTTCCGATTTTGAAATACATTAGGATCTGTGTTTTTTAATCATATGAATTGAATACCTTACAAAGCAGGGTTCTTGATCATTATTATTAGGTAGTTATGAAGGTGTATTAGCTTCGGATAAACTTCAGGACAATAACAGTGGATTTCTCCACTTTAATTACATACAGGCGGTTCCCTTAGTGGCTGAGATTAACATTAATCCAAAAATATTTGTCTTTTATGACCGACTTGTGTGAACACTAAATATCTAAATGTCGTTTAATTATGTGCCCGCTCTATCAAGCAACCCTATTCTGTAATTATTCATTCATTTAGTTTTTGGTTATGATAAATATACCAGGGACAGGACACTTTTACACAAAGGACCAAATCTTTCTAATGACTGTAGGGGATTAATTCAAGGGATTATGTGCGAAAAAAGCCCAAATCAAAGAACAAAAGTGATCAGAGGCATGTGACATTGCTCAAACCTCAGAGATAAAAAGGAAGATAATGATTTTAGCGAGTGGGAGTAGTTATCCCACAGGGACTAATTTAGGAAAACGTGATGGATGTTTTGACAGCAGTGATGATACATCAAAGACAAGGAATTACTGCATTGTTAAGACAAAGTTGTGAAAGACAGAAATCAAAAAGGTAAATGATGTCTTGTTTTCTTGCAGGGAATTGCTTTTGAACAACAATCTTTTACGAGTTCTGCCTTATGAACTCGGGAGGCTTTTCCAGTTACAAACCTTGGGGCTAAAAGGTGAGGCTTTTTATTTGTATTATATTCAGTACATTGCAATTGATATTGCAATTGCGAATGATTCGTGACATTGTGCCATTGATGATTTTAGCATCATAGTTCTCATTGTCACTGAAATGTATTAAATGATTATGTTGTGTTTTTTTAAGCAAACAAAAAAATCTGTTTTGTTAAGTCTAAAGAACATGATTTGTAGACCAGGATGTCTCTGAAGCTTCAAATTACTTCATTCAATATCAAATGATATTTGAACACATAGTTAGCCAAATAGTATTCTTCCTGCAGTTTGAGTCCATATTAAAGTTTGGATAAAATGTAGATCGGTCATTATTTCTTTACAGTACTTTCCTAGAACGTATTGTCAGGTAGTTTATGATATGATTGATTTGCAGGAAACCCTTTGTCCCAAGACATCCTCAATCTGTACCAGGAGTCGGACGGAACCAGGAAGCTTTTGAACTACATGCTCGACAATCTAGCAGGTAAACAGCTGCTCCTCCTCACCACCCGGCTACTAGAACTCATGCATATTTAACCTGCAGTTAATTGTAAACCTGAGCAGGTGTGAGATAGCAGGTACACCATTGTGTTTGTCACAGACAGTGAGCACTCATACCTCCCCCCCCCCCCCCCCCCCTCACCTTCTACAGTGCACCCAGAGCAGCTCCCACAAAGACCGTGGATCACTCTGAAAGAGCGGGACCAGGTGAGCCCCTCAGGTACGTTCAGCGGGGTTAAAGGGGCCCTATTATGCTTTTTGGGGTTTTCCATTTCCTGTTTCTTTGAGTTGCCAAGAAGGAATAAACACACTTTTAGAGCGGCTTTTTAAGTATTTAAAAAAAATAGTTTTACGTGTTGGGGCTGCTCCAGAGTTTGAGTGGAACCAAAAAATAGAGAAACATAATATTTGTGTCATACCTTCCTTATACTACAGTATATACTGTAGGTACCTGGAAATGTTCTTTTACACTTTATTTTACTATGTTTTACTATTTCGTTTTATATATAATTTGTAAGTAATGAGCTGCAGCTTTTGCTTAATAAGCTTAACAGGCCATAAACAGACCTGCAACCATTCGAGTTGCAGGTCTGTTTATTTATAAAACATGTTTTGTGAGGTCACAGTGACCTTGACCTTTGTCTTCTACATTTTTACTAGGTCATCCTTGAGTCGAAGTAGATGTTTTCTGCTAATCTGAAAATAATTCCCTCAAGGAATTTCTGAGATATCACGTTTAATAAGCAAAAAACTGAAGGACAGACAAGACAAGATCTGTCTAGAGCACATGTGTCAAACTCAAGGCCCGGGGGCCAAATCAGGCCCTTGGTGGATTTAATTTCGGCCCGCAGGATAATTTCTAATTACTATTAGATCTGGCCCGCCGGTATATTGCACGCACAGCTTCACTCAATCCTGAGGAGTTCCTCAGCTCAGAGCCTGAGCCCAAACATTGATCAACTTTCACCCAAGATGAGATGCCAAGTATCTGGCTTGAGCTAGCATCACAGAGCAGCACACTGAGTTTCAATGGATGTTTCCTTCTGCACTTTGTTTCTTGAGGGCATGTTTGTTTTTCTCTTTGAGGGAAATTGTTTTTTTGAAGCTGTTGTTGGCCTGTGGAAAAATGTAATCATAAGAAATGACTCCGGAGAAGCTGCAGATAGAGCCATAAGAAATGAATGCAACTGATTATTTAATGTTGTTTTTATAGGCAATCATTTAAGCTTTGTTAGTTCCAGGTTTAATATCTGCAATAAGTTCATTTCAATAAGTTCTGCAATAAACATTGAAACAGTCCGGCCCTCGACGAGTACCGATTTTTTTATTTTGGCCCACTGTGTATTTGAGTTTGACACCCCTGGTCTCGAGTCTATATTCTAGACGATAGTCATTCTTTAAATGTTTGTCTACAGCTGCGTTCACGGTCATGTGCTACAACGTTCTGTGCGACAAGTACGCCACCCGACAGCTGTACGGCTACTGTCCCTCCTGGGCCCTCAACTGGGAGTACCGAAAGAAAGGCATCATGGAGGAAATCACCAGCTGCGACGCTGACATCATCAGCCTGCAGGTGAATGAAGCAGACGTTGCTTCAATGATTTTCCAGAGAAAAAGGAACAAATCAGACGATAATATGATTTGTTTTCAAAAAAGCAAAACTATGTGTCTTAGAAGAGCATGTTGAATGGGTTTGTTATTATTTCTCAATTCTATGTATTCGTTCATTAGGTACCAGAGTAAGAGTTGGTCTGAGCTGCAACTATTGTAGTATTTGATTTAAAAGAAGTATGAAAATATATATATATGGAGAGATGCATTTTATTTACGCAAAGTATGGCTGTGGCTGCGGGGGCTGCCATTAAATATGCAGGAATGTTGTCATAAACTTAAGTATTGTACACATTGCCACTAGAGGGTGTCAGGGGTTCACCAAACTCTACGATTTTAATGTTTTGGAATTATCTGACCAAAATTCTTAAAAATGAGAACCAAAAATCTGGACCTGCTGATGATGCTTCAGGAAAACACAAAAGGATCCCCAAAAGAATAAAGATGTATCAGTGACCTTGGATGTCTGGATACAATTGGATTGAGATTCATCTAGTAGTTGTTACAATATTTCAAAGTGAAGGACCACACAACTTTTTAAAGTATTAATTCCTGCAAACTATTCAACTTGTCAACTCTAGTGATTAACTTTCCTTGAAACTATATTTGTTATAATCATTTCCACTTGTGGACATTTGTGAATATCAGAGATTATGAATTTTCAATATATTATACAACTTCACTTTACAATAATTGATGGTATTTTGGGGCCAGATGTATTTGAAACCACATTATTTGGCTATTTAAAAATGCAATTCGGAAATGCAAGGTTCCCTTAAACTAATACTACTATTGTTATAAAAAATCAAATAAAAAAACGACGTTTTTTCATGTTGAATATTCACGAAAAAAAGCTTGAGTTTACAAGTAGAATTAAAAACAAATTCAATAATCCTAACACGATTTTGGTTCCTTTGTGAAAAGGAAAATATGCCCCCCCCCCCCCTCCTGACTCCAGGCCGTTTATATTTGGCTAGTGCTCACTCCTCTACACATGCGTTTCATTGACTCTTTTAGGTGACATTTCTTGCCCTGTGTGTCTGCAGGAGGTGGAGACAGAGCAGTACTACACCATGTTCCTGGAAACACTAAAGGAGCGCGGCTACGATGGATACTTCTGCCCGAAGTCTCGTGCCAAACTGGTTTCTGAACAGGAGCGGAAACACGTGGACGGCTGCGCTGTGTTCTATAAGACCGAGAAGTGAGTTCACAGAATATGCTTTATTCAATATATGTATATAAATGTGTAGATTTTGATATCCAAGATTTCTTTCTGCGTTAAATCCATTTTAAAATGACTCACCACATTTTTGGTCTGACTGGATACAGTCAGTTGTGTGAGAGGACTACTCAATTGTATGAATGGACTTTGATTCTTGAAGTTAGATGAAAAGATACTACTGAGCAACTGTTCATGAGGTATAAAAGAAATCAGCAGCCATCCGTTAAAGAAACTGGAAGTTTGAGTGCAGATTTAAAAAGAAACAGTTTCATGTATCAGTGTTACATGCACAATAATGCCCATAAAAGCTGTAATTAAAGGCCCTTTGCACACCATTTACATGCACAAAAACCTATGTAACATACTACATGTATGTACAATCTGCTTCTGCTCTTTAACAGGCAACTTGTTGCTTTAGCAAAGCTCTTCTCCAAACTTCACAATGGAAATATAAGGTTATTCTGGGGTCAGTACTGTTTGAATTTTATCAGGGAAAATCTGCAGATTACTAAGGACTGACAGAACCCAGGTAAAACCTCCTAAATCCCACCACTGAGTAGAAAGCAGAGGCCCCCCAAACAATGGACAAACTAGATATATAGAGCCTAATTGCATTAATGTGGTTGAATAATGATCTCGGGTCTAGTTCTGAAAGTCTTTCTGGGCCAAAACTTTAACTTTGAATAATCAGTGTTTCCCCTAGGATGGAGTCATAGCAGCGGTGCTAAGGCACGTGGGCCCAGCATAATGTGAGTGCGGAGCGCGTGGAATTTTTTTGTGTGTGCGCGTGCGAAGTGCGCCCCGCCAATTTGTTTCTATGTGTCTGCCAGCACAAGAAAGGCTCTTGAGGCCTAGTACCAGGGCCGGTTCTAGCCAATTTGCTGCCCTTGGCGAGATTTTAGGCGAGATTTTATATATAAAGAATAAATGAAAAATCTCTACAAAAGACAAATACACTACAAAAACAGAAACTTATTGATATAGGTCATATACGTCAAAATGGCTTCAAATGTATTCAGTATTTTATGAACATGTTTTAATTGGGGGGTGGACGTCACATCCTCTAGGGGGGTCCGGGGGTATGTTTGAACATTTTAAAGTAAAATGCTTCAATCTGGTGCACTTTGAGCACGCAATTACTAGAGACCTGATCTAGGGGGTACAACTCTAAAACACCCATATGAAAATTACATTTTAATAATCAAATAAGTATGTGAACATAACCAATAACCTACCATAGCCAATAACAAATAAATGTAACTTATTTTATTTTTGTTGTTCATTTATATCTTATTTTACCAGTTAACATTTATTAATTTATGCATATTTTTGTATCTCACCAACTTTAAACGATATTTTTGGTTTACTGTCCTATAGTATACATTGGAATGATTTCAAATCTGTTTTTATTTATCCTAATAATTATAATGGAGTGCCTTGGAAATATGTGTTTACATAATTTGTAAACACATATTTGTTTGAGACCCACTGAGATAACTTAGACTAAAATTAACACTCAGAGAGTCCTTTACCTCACTGAGCCTCTCAGTCTGACAGGAGAGCTCTCCTCCACCATGGTTGTAGAAACATCTACTTCTTATATCCGTTAGCGCAGCTAGCACCAGATTCTAATAACAACAGCGCCGGTACCGGTGCGCTCTCTCTCTCCCTCTCTCGCTCCCACGCTCGCACTTTGGCTGTGAGCTGCGGGCGCCTGATAAGCCAACATCCCCCACTTTCATCACTAAGTGCCTATGTCAAAAATCGGCCCTGCCAGTACATACAGTGGCAATGTCTCAAGATTTAGCAAAAATACACCTTTATTGAACATACAGTAACACAAATACTACAAATCCACATAACAAACAATCAAAAACGAAAAAGTGTCGCCACTTATTATAATTTAAATATATTTTTTAAAAGTAAAAAGCGCCGCCGCTATTTGTATATAGGGAAAACACTGATGATACATTTAGTGTTTTAATCTCGGACAAAAAAACTGTTATTGTTGAAGGAAACGGGGAACATTAATAAAACAGCTGATTTAATGCTTTCAAATGGTATTGTATGAAATAAGGCAAGCACATTTTACATCTGAAAGCAGGAGACTTTACACTGAATACTTTCAATATTAATGCTGCTTTATGGATACTCCTGCAGGTTTACTTTGCTCGAGAAACACACTGTGGAGTTCAACCAGGTGGCCATGGCCAACTCTGAGGGCTCCGAGGTCATGCTGAACCGCGTGATGACCAAAGACAACATCGGGGTGGCCGTCCTGCTCGAGGTCAACAAGGACATGTTCTCCGATGGTAAGAACCACTTTTAAAAAAACAAATAATTTGACATAAATATCCCTAGGCCACACTTTTTAGGCCTGCAAGTCGTCCAACTTCACAGAAACATCCCATTTTTGCCCACCGGGGGAGTAAAGAAGTATTTTTTGTGTTTACCAATTAATGTCAAATATATTTTTTTAATTTAACATGTCATAACAAGTTCACAGAGCTCAAGGAGACATCTTCATTGCTTTTCTTGTTCAACAGTCCACCACCCAAATACAGCAAATCCTGATCCTTATAACTGAATACACAAGTAATCAATACAGTTAATCCACTTATTGACCTTCAGACATTTGTAGCTTAAGTTAAACCGTTTTTAAAAGTGTTTTTTTGTTTTGTAACATTGATACAAGGATCCAGGGTTTAGCTTTAGCAAAAGTAGTGTAGCCAAAAATACATCTATATTGTTGCAGTCACCTTATGATCAACAATCTGACAATATTTGTTCTAAATAAATAAAAGTAACATGGGAAAATCTGCAATGACTTTGCCACAAGGTGTCAACGTCGACATTACATGTCCTTCAATGGATTGATATGGGATGAGAAATCACTTTTATATGTAAATATGTGTAAAGAATTTATTTTAGTTGAATAAACATTTCATGTTTTTCATGTGAGCCTACCTGAATGCGTGCGCAGGCCCACAGTATATAAGGTGGCTACACCCCCCGACCGTCATCCTTTTTCTCTTCAGCGAGCAGCAACAACTGAAGCTAAACGTGAGAAGATAGATAGAAGAAAGTGAAAGAATGGACTCACCACTCCTCGAACATCGGCCTTGCCCTACATGCCCGGGCTTAATTGCGGGCGCTGATCCCCACCGCTGGTGCTTCGAGTGTTTGGGGCCCGACCACACGGTGGAGGGCAGCAAACATTCTCCGTCCTGCAGTGCCTGTCGTGCGCTCCCGCGGCTCAGATGCCAACATCGCCTGGAACACTTCCAGGCGCATTATGTCTCGCCGGACGAGGCGCAGGACCAGGTGGAGCTCAAGGTGGTCGTAATGGAGGACCAGGAGGTGGCCGAGGAGGTGCCGTCCGACGGGCTGGGCGGCCCCCGTTTGTCAAGGAGGAAAAAGACGAGGACTTCTCGTTGTCTGTGCTTCTGGGTCCGGCGTCCACGAGGGTCCACCGCGCAAGATCTGCCCATCAGGATTTTCCCGCTGGTGATGGCCATGGATGCGGAGCGTGTGGGTCTACCGCTCCCCCCCTCCGCTACCACCCAAACCGGTGAGCCGCCTCCGTCAGGGGTTTTATGGCCCGGTTCAGCCAGCCCAGCCGGCCTTTGTTTCGCCCCCGTTTGCCAGATATCTGGCAGTGTGTGGAGGCAACATGGCGGCACCCTCTGAGGACGAGGGCTCCGGTGGCGGGCATGGCGGATTTGCTCAGGGTGCACGGCCGCACGGACACAGCGTGTCCCAGTGTGCCCCCCCTCGATGAGAGCCTGGCGGCCCATCTGCTCCCACAGGCAGCAGGTTGGGCGGAGGGGAGAAGACCGCTGCCTCGTGACCGTGAAACGCTGGAGTATCTTGATATTCCGACTCGGGGCACAGCTGGCGGCGGCGGCCAATAATCTGGGCGTGTTAGGGGTCTCGCTGGTCACCCCTCAGCAGGAAGCCCCCGCCTCCCCGTCTCAGGAAGACCGGAGTGATTATTCGGACCGCTGCATCGGGCAGATTAATAATCTGGTCCATGGTGTAGCCGCCGCAGCTGGCTGTGTGATGTCCCTGGCCACAGTGGGATCACGCCACGTTTGGTTAGGACTCAAGGCGCTCTCCAGGAAGGACCGTGATGATCTCCTTGGAGCCCCCGTATCCACGGAAGGGCTCTTCGGATCGATCACCTCTGTCACGCAGCACTTCAGCCGCTTGGAGGAGGAAAGAGCGCAGCTCAGCCGTATGCTGCATGTAGAGTGCACGGCTGCCATTAGGCGCACTGAACAGCTGTTTGTTTTGTTTGGGGATGGTGTGGCTGGAAAAGCTCTCTCCAAGAGGCGCCTGACAGGAGGATGGCTCTACGAGTGCATTGCACATGCTTATGGACGGGCGGGGAGAGCCCTCCCCCCTGGGGTCCGTGCACACTCTACACGGGCTGTGGCTGTGTCAACAGCCTTATTCAGCGGCGTGAGTGTAGAAGATATATGCACGGCGGCGTCTTGCTCTGCGCCAGGCCCCTTCATAAAGTTTTATCTCTTGGACATGTCTGGCTCCTTCTCGTCGTCTGTGCTTGCCAGGGCAACACATGACTTGTGAGAGGGGGGGGGGCTGTGGGTCAGTAGGTATCTGACCCCCCGTGGACATAATGTGCTTATGTTTTTTTCCATGCTCCTTAGGGACCCGGGAAACATGGTGCGCAGTAAGCCCCATACAGGGCTGGAGGACTCTCCCCACTATCGTACATGCACACTCTACACGAGGTAAGCGTGTGTGAGTGTGCCTTATCCAAGCTGCGGCCCTGACTTCTCCAAGGTTACAACCGGATGGGAGGAAGTGGGGGTGTGGTGGATGTTCGCCAAAGCCGGTCAGGGGCAGTGTGATGGGTCGATGTTGTTGGACGACAGGGCGGTTATGCATCGGGGCTCCACCCACTGTACCCATAGAGTCCAGTAGAGGGCGGAGCCTGTGTGATATATAACGGGGGGTTGTGTATTGTAACCCTAGTTATATAAGCACAGGCGTCCACCTGGGGGCCCTGTCTTTCCTATGCCACTCGCTGAAGAGGGTGTAGGATGACGGTCGGGGGGCGTAGCCGCCTTATATACTGTGGGCCTGCGCGCGCATTCAGGTAGGCTCTCCCCGATTGGCCGGCTACGTTTATGCAACTCAGTATGTGAATGCACGCATAGCATGATAGAGAGTAGTACCCATAGAGTCCAGTAGAGGGCGCCGCCTGTGCTTATATAACTAGGATTACAATACGTAACCATACTTGCCAACCCTCCCGATTTTCGCGGTAGACTCCCGATTTCATTGCCCTCTCCCGGTTTCCTCCCGGGATCATATTTCTCCCGATTTCTGACAAAATCAGATTTACTCAGGACTGTTTCCACTTCGACTTTAATACAGCTACAACATTGTTTGGTTTCCATGGTAGCGCGTCTCTTTAGCAGAATCCACAACACGACCGTCTGCTCAATCCTTTCCTATAAAATACAGGTCCAGCCCACACATATCAATCAATGTTTATTTATATAGCCCAATATCACAAATGTTACATTTGTCTCAGTGGACTTCACAGTTTGTACAGAATATCAGTATGACAATACGACACCCTCTGTCCTTAGACCCTCACATCGTACAAGGAAAAACTTCCGGAGAAAACCCACAGTTTAAAGGGAAAAATGGGAGAAACCTCAGGGAGAGCAACAGAGGAGGGATCCCTCTCCCAGGACGGACAGACGTGCAATAGATGCCGTGTGTAAATTGAAAAGATAATTTATTTGAAACATAGGTAGTCCAAATGTTTGGAAATGCATGTGTGTATAATAGGAAGATGAATCCACGAGGATATCCATCCAGGACCTATGATCCAGGACCACACCCACGACTCAAGATCCGGGGCTCGCGATGCAGGACACAGGACCGCAGGATCATCCATGACTCCGGATCCCAGCGTATATAGACACCAAAAAGAAAGAAATTTGGGGAAGCTGGGTTAATCGGAACATGAGAGTACACAGGTACAGACAGAGAGAAGGAAGAAGTAAGGTGTCCCCCGACAAACTAAGCCTATATCAGCAAAACTAGGGGCTGAATCTAATCAGCCCTAACTATAAGCTTTATCAAAAAGGAAGGTCTTAAGCGCACTCTTAAAAATGGATAGGGTGTCTGCCGCCCGAACACAAACTGGAAGCTGATTCCACAAATGTGGAGCTTGATAAGAAAAGGCTCTGGCTCCCATTGTACTTTTAGAGACTCTAGGAACAACCAACAACCCTGCATTCTTGGAACGCAATGCCCTAGTAGGACAGTAGGGTATAATGAGTTATTTAAGGTAAGATGGCGCCTGCCCATTAAGGGCTTTGTAGGCGAGAAGAAGAATTTTAAATTCTATCCTGTGTTCTATAGGGAGCCAGTGTAAGGCAACCAGAACAGGAGTAATGTGGTCCCTTTTCCTAACTGGTTAGTACACGAGCTGCAGCATTTTGAATCAGCTGAAGCGACTTGACTGACTTCTTGGTACACCCTGATAATAAGGAGTTACAATAATCCAGCCTTGAAGTAACAAATGCATGGACTAGTTTCTCTGCATCGTTTTGAGGCAAGATATGCCTGATTTTTGCAATGTTACGTAGATGGAAGTAGGCGGTCCTTGAAATTGATTTTATGTGGGCGTTAAAGGATAAATCCTGATCAAATATAACACCAAGATTCCTTACAGTCTCACTGGAGGCCAAATTAATGCCATCCATAGTTAGTATATCTTTAGATAATTTGTTTCGTAGATTCTTCGGGGCAAGTACAATAACTCGTGTCGTGTTTAACATCAAAAAGTTTAAGGTCATCCACGTTTTTAAGTCCTTGAGGCAGTCTTGAATTTTATTTAGATGATTAATTTCATCAGGCTTGATTGATAAATATAGTTGAGTATCATCTGCATAACAATGAACATTTACAGAATTATTCCTTATAATATTGCCTAACGGAAGCATATATAATGTGAACAAAATAGGTCCGAGCACTGAGCCCTGTGGCACTCCATGGCTAACTTTGGTTTGCGTGGAAGATTCATCGTTGACACGTACAAACTGAGAGCGTTCAGATAGATAGGACCTAAACCAGCCTAAAGCAGTTACCTGTATGCCAACTAAGTGCTCTAGTCTTTGCAATAAGATATCATGGTCGATAGTATCAAATGCAGCACTGAGATCGAGCAAAACAAGAATAGAGACAAGTCCCTTGTCAGAGGCTATTAGAATGTCATTTGTGACTTTAACCAGAGCTGTCTCTGTGCTATGATGTGTTCTAAAGCCAGACTGAAAATCTTCAAATAAATCATTGTTTTTTAAGTAATCACACAATTGTTTTGCGACTGCTTTCTCAAGAATTTTTGAGAGGAACGGAAGATTAGAAATAGGTCTATAGTTGGCTAAAACCTCTGGATCGAGGTATACATATGCTCCATCAAGGATGGTGCTACAGGATGCAAGGCAGTGCACTTACCACTACAATAAGCATGTTAATGTTAATCTCATACAGCTCCGGCGATGATCCACTAGCACCCCCCGCGGTGGTTTTGAAATGCTCCAGATTTCTGAGGTCTCAAGGTTGGCAAGTATGTACGTAACCCCCGTTCTTCCTTTTTAATGGTTTTATTTTTACAGTGAGAGTAATTCTGAGTTTCTAAAGTTGGATCAGCGCTCTGTGCTTTAGTGTAACCAAACTCGCCATAATAAGACCATGTTAGGGTTTTTTAGGGGGGGTTTCTACATACAAATGTGACTGTTGAAAGTTGAATTTAATTCCACAGTTTTTTCACTCCTTAAAAGTCTTCATAATCCAATGTTCTCCTCTGTTTTCAGGCGTGAAGGTGCCACAGGAGAGGCAGCTGATCCTGGTGGCCAACGCCCACATGCACTGGGACCCCGAGTACTCGGACGTCAAGTTGATCCAAACCATGATGTTCCTGTCGGAGCTGAAGAGCATCGCTGAAAGGGCTTCGAGCTCCATGGCGACCGGTTCGCCCGCCTCCGACCCGTCCTCCATCCCCATCGTCCTGTGTGCTGACCTCAACTCGCTGCCCGACTCCGGTACGACTGTCACTCTTACCTCGGTTCAGTATTGTTCTGCTTGGATATTACAAGTCTATGTTTTGTGTGAAAGTGACCAATTTGGACAACAAATCCAGAAATGTGTCCAGCATTGAGCGAGCAAGCTGCAGCTGCTACACCGTCGGCAATATAATCCTTTGGGCAATCGTCCTCCGTCACAGTTTTTATCCAAATATATAGATATTTGCTTGATTACTGTGGTACTCCTTTTGAAATAAAAAGTTTAAACGTTACCTTTTTCAATAAACCAGGTGTGGTGGAATTCCTGAGCAACGGAGGAGTGGCCGACAACCACAAGGACTTCAAGGAGCTACGCTACAATGAATGTCTGACCAACTTCAACTGCAACGGCAAGAACGGCAACTCAGACGGAAGCATCACACACAGCTTCCAGCTGAAGAGCGCCTACGACAGCAATCTGATGCCTTACACCAACTACACATATGACTTTAAGGTACCGTCTGCCTGAGAGCTTGAACAGCTAATTGGATTTTCATTTTCCAATGTAGGCTGCACAGTGGTAGACTTCTAGATGTATTTCTCCTTTAGCTACAAGCGGCCATTGGTCTGGTAGATTCAGTTATGTTGAAAGTTCTGTTTTCGTTGAGTATTTTTGTTATGGGATGAAAAACCCTGAACATTGCTCTGTCTGAGCCATTACCTTCACTACAGTGCTATTTGTTCAGTTAGTCTTGTGGTTACCGCTTTGGTTTCTAATGACGCATGCAGGCAACTGTCGCACATTCCCTTACATTTCCTCGAGTTGTTTCATCAGAAGCAATGGACTTCCCCCTTATTCAAAACCTTAAACCAGGACTTCACTGATCACTCATTTACATTTATGTCTGTAAATAAATGAAAAATCCAAACACATTTCTCTTTTACTATAAACCGAGGGCAGTGAGTGGAGATTGAATTTCCTTCACACAGATCAAGGCTAGCTATTTTCCCCTGTTGTCAATATTAGCATCTTATTATTTGCATGCATTCTGAATAAGAGTAAATATATTAGTTCAATACAAATTCAAGAAAAAGCGTTTTATTCTAATGTGTGGTCTGAAGTATCCAAAGTATTCAGTCTCAGTGTACAGAGTCTTTTTCATCACACATGGGAACATATTGCCCCCACCCCCCTTAAACTCATATCACATGTTGTCTTTGCAGGGTGTGATCGACTACATCTTCTTCTCAAAGACCCACATGAGTGTCCTAGGCCTGATGGGGCCTCTGGACAGCCAGTGGCTCGTCGACAACAGCATCACCGGCTGCCCCCACCCCCACATCCCCTCGGACCACTTCTCCCTGCTGGCCCAGCTGGAGCTGCACCCCCCCCTGCACCACCCGCTCACCCCCCTCAACGGGCTGCACCTGCCGGTTCACAGGTAGTGCTGCCTGAGAGAGCCTCCCCTTCAGAACACTGCCCCCCTCCCCCTTCTGTACAGATTACTGCTGATGTTAAAACTCTGACACCATCCGACCCGAGACACACTTCTAAAGGAGTGAAGTATTTGCCCGTTTGTTGCTCCTCTTTGTGTTTTTGCACACTGTAAATGTTTGTTTTATCTCATGTTCTCCTCTTGGAAAGGCTTCATACCAAATGTTGGGCTTGGGATGAGGTTGCTATGGTAAACCCCAATGTCAATTGTTTTTTTTGCCTTATATAATACCTGCTTGTAGATTCTGCTCCTACAACAAGAACCCTTTAACTTAAACTACCCACTTTTTAAAGAAGCACTCAACAAATGTCAACAGATTTGACATTTGACAGAAGTTTTTAGAGTAAAAAGACAACATATTACTAATGCTGCACCACACGTATGATGTGTGGAAGTCACAGTATATAGAACGAGAACCTGCGATCACTCCTTAATAAACTGACATGTTTTTTAACAGAAAGAGAAACACTATAAACTGAAAGTTGTAAATGTTTACAAGGAGGTGAAAGCTTTGTTTACAGCAGCCGTTTTTGTAAACAGAGGTCTATATATTTTTTAATGTGATCAGCAGAGAAATGCCAAAATACTTATTTCAATAAAATGTGGAGAAAATTAAAATGTACAATGTTAACAAGTACTGATTGGACATTTTTAAAGTACTATGGTGCTATGTGAATGCATCTTAGTTTCTACATTCACTTCTATGATTTTTTTTCCTTCTATAATACTTGAACCTCCCTTTTATCATTGCTAAATATTATAGTCGCAGAGGTATTATTTGAAAACAGTGAGTTCCTTGCAGCATGATGAAGTAATACAATTTGTTCAGTCAAAGTTAGAGCTCAAATCCCAAATAATTATAAACATTGCAAACAAATTAGCCCCCTACTCTTTAACAAAAATTGTTTAAGACATTACATATATTTAAACACAATCCTGACCAACAATATACTTCATTCAAACACTTACTGTCTTAAAAGAGTCCCATATCCCCTCACCTGACTGGTTAAAGATTCCCCCTAAAATTAGTGACTTATGCTCTTTCCACAAAGAGAAACATTTATTTCATTGTGCAAGAGAAAGAAAAAAAAACTTCCTGAGAAGGATCTTCCAATTATTCCTGACCGGGAGCCGAATGTATTTCCCAGAAGATCACCATGAGATTGGTTGTTGCCAGATTCCTGTTGACGTTGTGTTTCTGTCAGATTATTAGAACTACTAGCCCTTTTATGTAAATTGTAACTCAGGGCTATGCTATGCATCCAACATTACCTCTCAAACTGAACACTCAGAGTCCTGTCATAAGAGCAAAACCAAACAGGAAGCTATTGGTTTGAAATAGTTTATAAAGCACAGGTAATATATGTACTTGCATACATATATGTTGTCAAAAAAAATCTCACACTGCTGCTGCATTTTCTCAAGTTTTTAAAAATCATAACTTGAGTTTTCACAAGGTGCAAAAAAAAAATTCAGATAAATACGTTTTATTGAATGTGAGATGATGGGATAAAGATAGCAAGGGTAGGACTGGGTATCAATACTGATGCAGTAACTGATTTTCAGTACCAATACAAGAATTACTTCAATATTTGAAGTAATTCCCAAATGTTGAGTGTTGACTGGTGACATGAGGTAATTAGGGTTAGGGCAGGGCAGCAAACAAAAACAATCTTTCTTTTTCACTTTATTTAATTTCTTCCTGCACAATTGGAGTAAGATGCTTCTGCAATCTAAGCAGACAAGCACTTTGATTGAGACATGCAGCAGGTGGCAGCACAGGGACATGCAGGGCCTTGTATTAGACGAACACCAGCAGAAAATGTTGGGACCATTGATCTCAACACAATCAGACAAACCCTAAATAAAACTCAAGTCTTTTGATTTAAATCAGCAATAATTTGACTAAAGAATTGGTAAAAGTTAACAATTCTGGTCAGACATTTGATGCCAGCTTTCATTGATTAACATCTCTCGATATCGATTGATACAAAAGGAAGTATTGAGGTTTGATACCCAGCCCTACCCATGCAGAAGGACTGATCTCACACCGAGGTGTCCTTTAAACTGTGATGTTTTGAAATGGAATTAGTTAAATAAGTCAAAAGAATTTGCTCATTTTGGGATAAATTATGTAACCTAAGCTTTATAGCGCAGACAGATGAGTTCACCCGGCGTGGACGGGCAGTATCAGCTTTGCTTCATTTGCACATGATTTGATGCTCACGCTTAAGGATACTCCTATACTTGTGAGCATTTCGAGGCCTATACTTCACTCCTAAATTCAACTGATCTTTTCTGATTTTGTACAACAGCTGTTCATAAATGAAATTGCATTTCATTACGGGTGTCTTTCACATCTGTTAAGGTAATGTACCCTTCTCAGATTAAGGGGCACACAAATCAAAGATGTACCTGGTGTTAAACCTTTTTTTTCTTTGCTCGGTGTACTTGTGTGAATACCACCTCCATACTGTGGAGACAACACTGGTCTTTGTCAAACTTTGTTTTTAAACTACGGGCATTTTTTGTCTCAAACAAACATGCAGTCTCTCAATTGGTACTTTGTACAACTCAGTATTACCACGTTTTTGAGAAAAAAAGATAAATGTTCTAGGTTTTAAAAGCAGTTTGTCTTGATGGTTTTTATTTCTCCACTACACATCTTAACTATCCACTCAAAGCTTTTCACGCTCTGAGATGATGCTCAATTATTGTCTCCTCTTTCACATCTGTTTTCACACACATCCGGAGCCACCTTTTTCACAATAATATCCAACTATCATTATCTAAAAGCATTTGCCCTGTATATTTTATGCCTTTAAACCGCAACTCGCATACTTTTTCTACAAACAATGTGCATAGTTTGTACAATTTCTCCCAAAGCAGCACTGCCCACGAGACCAAAACACTCAGATTACCGTCCGTCCATCCATCCATCCATCAACCAGACATCCGTCCGTCCATCAACCAGACATCCGTCCGTCCGTCCGTCCGTCCATCCATCCATCCATCCATCCATCCATCCGTCCATCATCCATCCATCCATCCATCCATCCATCCATCCATCCATCCACCAGACGTCCATCCATCCATCCATCCATCCATCCACCAGACGTCCATCCGTCCGTCCGTCCGTCTGTCCATCCATCCATCCATCCATCCATCAACCAGATGTCCATCCATCCGTCCATCCATCCATCCATCCGTCCGTCCGTCTGTCCATCCGTCCATCCATCCATCCATCAACCAGACATCCGTCCGTCCATCCATCCATCAACCAGACATCCGTCCATCCGTCCGTCCATCCATTAACCAGACATCCATCCGTCCCTTCGTCCATCCATCCATCAACCAGACATCCATCCATCAATCCATCCATCAACCAACCAGACATCCATCCATGCATGCATGCATCCATCCATCCATCCATGAACCAGACGTCCGTCCATCCATCCAATCAGACATCCCATCTTTCTCATCTCTTTACCCATCCATCCAATCAATTATTGCTCACCTCAGACTGTTTTTTAATTTTTTTAATCAAACGAAAAAATGTCCTCCACATATCTGAAATGCCTGCTCTCAGTTGTTTGAGGTTTCAACTGGTGATTTTGTTTTGATGCAGTTTTTGGTGTTAAGAGGTTACTGTATCTTACACAGGATTATGGCCAAAGGCTGGTTGTGGCCAATGAGATGAAAAGTGTTTATCATTTGGATGAAGATTTTGTTGTCATTATCTGCTTTTACATGTTAAAGATCACAGGAAACATGAACCTAAAGGATGCTGTGTAAATATGTGCTGGTCATCTATTAACCTGTCATTTAAAGCACCACAAATGCTGAAAGTATACACAATTTGAACCATGACACACAACTTTGTAAATACATGGTGTATCATGAATATTTTCAGTAAATATTTGATCATTTGCATAACTGACAATCGGTGAATGCTCTGGTTAATTAGTTCTATGAGGCCAATATAAAATGACGACAAATTAAAAAGTAGTGAACTTTAATGTCAAAAGTTTACTTACTGAGAATTTGACTGACAAAGCAACTTTCACTGCCTTTCCTTAAACTCGCAATTGGCATCTTTCAATTCCAAGAAATGCAAAGCTGTCTTTTTCAAAGTTGCTCCATATCAGCAACTTTCAGTAGATTTGTTTTAATCATGTGAGTGGAAATGTGGTTGGGATCCCCAGGCACCAGCAGTCACCACTGAAGGTGCTACAGTATTTCTCTGAATGGTTTTCAACAACTACATTTCAACCACGTAACAACGTTTTTTGGTTTCTGTTCTCCGACTACAGACAAGCAGCTCTTCACCACACTGGTTCTTCAATCCAACCAGCTTCCACCACAAACGAGAGGAAGCAGTCAGTGAGCGTTTGGTTGAAAGTTTTGCGGGGGAGAGCTGATAAACTGAGACTGAGCAGGGTTGGTTCTTGTGAATGCCAGAGTGTGCGTCATGTCTGACAATTACATGTTTAAAAGTTTCACAAAAAGAAGTAACAGTTCGCCTGCCTATACGAGTGTCCTCTGGCAAAAAATACACACTTATCCTTTGTAGAGTTCCTTTTAACATTTGTTAAGTGTTATAGCAGGTCAAAAATTATGTTGTGTTCTTGTAAAAGATGTAAAGTGGAATTGTAATCCAACACTCATTTCAAATAGGATAACAACTGCATTAAGGAATGAATATGAATGAACAGATACAAATATAAAAAATTGGTGAAATAAACACAATTGATATATATCTTTTAATGAAAGTACAACTTTAAAAAAAAAGGGTGATCTTTACATTACATATGTAAAACTGAAATATAAGAATGGCTACCAGAGATGGAAGAAGAGATGGAAAAATATTTTATACATAAATATGTGTCCCCGGTGTGTAAGGAGACTCACAAAGTATCAGGAAACAACCCTCTCTCTCTTCCTCCTTACCCACATCTCTAAAAACGGAGGAAAAACGGAGCTGTTCCAGATTTGCTGAGAACTTGACGTCATTACTAAAATGTGGGCTGGCTTTACATTGAACTCCTGGCAACGTCCCCCCGCACGTCCCAACCTATCGTCCCCATATACAGTGGCTAGCTGAAACCGCAGCTGTGTGTCAGTGTATTCAGCAGGATGTAGGGACTAAGAGTCAAGTTGTTATATATATAATACATATAATGGCACTATTCTAGCAGTAAACACTGAATAAAGAACATGTCAAGCTATGTGCTGTATCAGAAACAATGCACAAAGTGTTTTGGAAGTAATATGGTCTTTGTTTACATTAGCAAGCATCGCTAACACTCAGAGCTAACGCTGTACTGGAGAGAACATGTATCAAGAAGATGGATGTAAAAGGTACTGTCCTTGTGGTAAACCCGCAAGAGAAAAAGCGTTTGAGCTCCATACCGTTTCAGAAATAATGCTTGATGTGGTTTGGAACATAATATGGCGTTTAATCACGGCAGCGTTAAGCTGAGTTTCTGCCGGTAGACACTCTTCTCGACACAGAGCTCACCGCTTGCATGCGCCCCAAAGGGGCGTGGCCAGCAGCAGCCTGTTTACATTTGAAGCTACAACCCAGAATCAGCACTTTTGTAACAGGGCTGAAATAGAGGGGTATGAGGCATGGCTACAATGGGTGATCTGTTTGGTATGTGGAGTAAAACACTTCAGAGACATGTTTTGTATAGATATGGCCCTATGATATATTGTTCAAATATAGCATAATTGGTGAGCTTTAAATTATTGTGTCATAATTATTGTTGCATTATTGTGTTGCACTTTGTAAAGGTGGGGTTTATTTAATTTACTGCTGGGTAGCTAAACTTATATCATAATTAGCTAGTAACAACAACTGAAAAATAAATGTATTGGAGTAAAAAGGTAGCATAATGTGAAAATACTCAATTGATGCAGTACATGAGTAAATTAACTTAGTTACCTTCCATCATTGGTGAGTGTCGGAACTTTAATCATGTTGCTATGAAGACCTTCTCACTTAATTTGGGGATTTTTCATGCTTACATATAATTTGAAATCCTCTCCGTAGTAACACTTTTAAAAATATGTTGCGTTTTGCTGAATTGACATACTAGAGGACAACTTTTAACAAAGTTATAAAGTGCTTTACAAGGGGGAAAAAACACAAAATCCCCGGCAAATTAAAATGAAAACGAACAATGAGACTTTTGGGGGGTTTATTAATTAAAAAAAAGCTATTCAGTGTAATGTTTTTCTAAACACACTTGTATGATTTGTACATGAATGAGTGGAGGACTTCTACAAAGGCTGCAGCTGTGTTTAACATGTGAGCTGTTATACCTCAGTTCATACAAAACCCCAACAGCAGTATCAACCCTCCACACAGCCCGACAAAAAGAAAAGGCAAAAAACATGGCCTTTTTCTCTTCTTTTATTCTTTATAAGAAGACAAGTAATGATAACACAACACTAAAATGACAGGTTACAGTACCAGCCCAGCATCATTGTGTATTCACATTTACAGGAAAGCATTCTTTGCATTCTATTGATTTTGTAATAAAACCATCACAGAATTACTTCACAGTACAGAGTTATGGCTTTAAAAAAAAGAAATAGCAACATTTATATATTTTAGAATGAGTATCCATACAGCAATAATGAAATCCATATTAAAATGTATATAACATGGGAGTAAAGCAGCCCCGTTAAAGTGATGTACTATCAACTGTCAGTACTTCAGGCATCTGAGAAATAAGTAAGACAGATTGTTTATTGACATTTTCCGAAAAAGGCAAAAGAAGAATTTTTAATTAAAGTGTTGAATCATTTGATTCATTAGGTAGTTTTTAAAGCTGGACATATCTCAGCCCCCCCATTTTAATTCACAGCTTGATACATTTAATTGAAGCCATTGTTATGTCACATGTTGCCACAGATTGTGATCAGAAGTTGTTTGTGGAAGCGTTGGGTGACACAGTGGTTGAGCCGGAGTTCCCATCTTAACTGTAATTAAAACAAGACAAGCAAAATAACTAAATACAATTATTCAGAAGGCAATAAAACCCAGTGGCTAAATGTTGTATTGTGATCAGGGTGGACATGATACCCGAGTGGGGAAATATACAGCGTTATATGATACAAGTTACGTTTTTATTACTATTATCCTATTAAATAGGGCTCTATTTTGTTTATTTTCAGGTTTATTTTTGTATTGAAATATCAGTTAAGACACTTTGCCATGGCATGGGGCCGAGAAAATAAAGGCTTCATTTGTTGGTATTTGTTTTCAGGGACAAAGGGAGACAATAGACACATTCCCATGTCAATAAAGACAGAAAAAAGGTAACAATGCCTCTCAATCACAAACATTTGTCCATTTCTCTGTTGACATGTAAAGCTAAACCAGGATTAGAAAGCTGTCAACAGTGAGCTGAAGAATCATTCAGGGAGTTGAAGATCTTCTGTTTCCAAAAAAACAACATTTGTAGATTTTTGTATAGAATGTATTATACATTTAAGGAAGAAAAACAAAAGAAAACACATCTCCATAAACATTACCATACACTGTAAACTGACACTTTACTGTAGCATAATTGTTTGTCTATTAAATGTCAGAAACTTGTCTAATGGATTTCTACCAAT